AAGGAAAGGAATCGGTTGTGAGGCTTCTCCTCGAGCGTGGGGCAGCGGTGAATTTTCAGGGTGGCCAGTATCGCAACGCACTACAAGCAGCTGCAATTCAGGGAAACGAATCGGTTGTGCGGGTTCTCCTCGAGTGTGGGGCAGAGGTGAATGCGAAGGGTGGTGCTTATGGCAATTCACTACACTCAGCTGCAATTCACGGAAATGAATCAGTTGTGCGGCATCTCCTCGAAAGTGGAGCAGAGGTGAATGCCCAAGGTGGCTATTGTGGCAATGCACTACAAGCAGCTTCAGGAGAGGGAAGCGAATCGGTTGTGCGTCTTCTCCTTGCAGGTGGGGCAGAAGTGAATGCTCAGGGTGGATTTTATGGCAATGCACTGCAAGCAGCTGCATATCGGGGGAACGAATCGGTTGTGCAGCTTCTCCTCCAGCATGGGGCAGATGTGAATGCCCCGGGGGGCCTTTTTGGCAATGCAGTACAAGCAGCAGAAGAAGTACGCCATGAATCAATTGTCCAGCTTCTCCTCTCACACCGGGAAGATCCAAATCTATGATTCCGCTAGTTTGTTCCACGCGGCATGGCCAGCCGCGGGGCTTTCGCTTGTTCGACTACTCGAATATTCTAATCCTAAAGCTGTCCGCAATTCCAGAAGCTGCCCCCTTCCTATCCCACCTTCTCTCACTCTCCCTCTTTCCACTATTTCACCCGACTACCGCGAGAAAGCCTAACTCCTACACACGGCCCATTCCCGGCGCCTTACCACCCAGCGGCTGCCCTCTGCTGCTCACCTCGAACAAAATAACTGCTCATTCCTGGAGTCCTAACTGTTATTCTGCTCCAACTACTTTTCCTAACCTTCCCGGCTTTCTCCGAAATTTCAAATTACCTCACCCCAAGTCAACTTAAACATACAAACCCGGACACGCGACCCTCCATGCGCATTCCACCTCCCCGAACAAACCATCTCTCCCTCTCATTTATCCCACACCCAATCCGGCATCCCGGAAACCATCCCTTGCTCCACATCACCAAAGTCGCTAGTGCACACCGGATGTCCTAATTTCAACTTCCTGTACTGATACTTGCGCGACCCAATCTCTTCAGTATTATTATTACCAGCTGTTGAGATAAAATTGGCTACGTCTCGGATTGTATACTGTGGGGTTCAGTGATGCATTGACACTTACCGTCAATGTGTGAATCAGTTAAGCGACCCTGATAGAAGGAGAAATTGGATAAGGCCTGCTCCGGAGGCGGCGGGTGGCGATGGAAGGAGTTCCGGAGACGAGGAAGTATAAAGTTGGCTTACCAATTCATTCATTTAGCTACTTGAGTCTGGTCTCGGGCTTTGGAGCTCCCTGTCCTTTTTCTTATATTTCTTTGCTCACCCTTCTCTTCTTCCCTGGAGTGGAATATGGCCGTAGGCACATGTTCGTGGAGGGTTGTTGTTTGAGAAAAAGCGCCTGCTTCGCTCTGGGGAGACGGATCGTTTATACTCTCATTTCCTCTATTCTCCGTTTTCTTTTTCTCCCAGATGTATCCCCATACCCACCCCCGATCAATACATTGGTCTTTGGGACTAGCCCAAGGACATGCATCCCTCACAGTAGTACTATCTCGAGCTCCCTCTGTGCCAAATTTGACAATGAGTGTGAATTCATCCGCGTAAACCACTTGCGATCGGCCACCTAGAGCTGAAAACTAGAGGACTTAGCCTGACCCAAGGGGGACGAAATCCCGGCCTGGCGGGGTTCAGTACAAAACCCCACAGAGCAGGCTAGCTCTGGGAACCATTTCTGTCAGCATCCGGAATGAGTTAGTAGAGATATGGGGAGTGTTAAAGCAAATTGGGCGGAAGAAAGACGGTTATTTTTTCCCCTAGATAATATGAGAGCATGGAGGATTAACACATGGTTGGCAGCTCGGGAGTCAGTGCAGGAACTTCAATCTCCTTGTATAAATCCTATCCACAGCGCTATCCCACCACTTCCATTATTTGCTGCTCTAAACCCAATCGATCACCGAACCGAGTACTGGACCTGCTGCATGTGTCCTGCTTCCGATATTTTCTCCTTGTTAAGAGAACAAACCCAGGTTGCACGGGCTGCCGGGATTTTGATTTAGAGGCGCTTTGATTATTTTGTGAGTTTCGTATATTCTGCTACTGCCGATCAAGGATATGGTTGAATACTTCGTGATTAGAACTTCCGTATTTTGTTGATTTAAGGAACTACAGCGCACTAACTATAACTAACATTCCATCAAGAGACTTGAGCTGTCCCATACCATTGAGCTGGGAGCAAATTCCTTTACCTTTGTTTTCCCCTGGCTCCGCATCCATGGTAAAAAAAGATTTGGATTCAATTAGCGAGCCCTGTGTAACCCAGGTCCAGAGGACCCTCAACGCCGGATTCGTAGAGCCGATAATGCAGAAGAGGGCTTCAGGCTGGCAGGACGGACGGCGGGCTTGACAGAGCACTGCGGATATCCGAGGAAAAGCCAATAGAAGCAGTTGATCGCCTAGATTTCTCAAGAATCAATTTCACTTGATGTATTATATCCTGGTGTCACCGACCTGGGAAGGAACTAGCGGCAGCTGAAGGGGGAAAGAAAGAGAGATTTCTAGTACTAGGTTAAATAGAGTTTGCTTTGGGCACATCATCAGATATTGGGTTTTGGAAAGGTTGGGAGCGAGCGATAGGAGTAATAAGCGGTAGTTCATACCCGATGACCCTCCCTTTGAGCAATCAACAAGTGACCCCCCACAACGGAGATCTGGACTACTGTATTTTAGTCTATATCTCTATCGAACAGGCGGTTTCCGGAGTAGCATGAAAGAAATAGCTTTTAGTAAATCATAGCAACGTACGATTCTTGGACACACTAACTGATATCTTAGCCGAGCGATCAAGCCGGCGGAAAGTGGTTTAGGTGTATGGTGGTTAGGTCTCGAGGGGGGGGGTCAGGCCTTTGTCGCGTTAACCCATCTTCTTCCGTGGTTAGTGTGAAAGACCGGTCTTGCTTGGATTGAACCGGGTACGGGCTCAACCAGGCCTATAGGCCCCCTAACCCCAGTGGGGTGTTCGCGGAGAGTTATCGCTATCTCACGGAGCACGGTCGCCCACGCCTCAGAGAACCGAGTGGTATATTTTCAAGTTCATAGAAGCTGATGGAAATTTTGTAAAGTCATGCCGCTTCCCCGGGGCGCCGTATAAGCATCTACGCTAAAGCTGTCTTGGAATATTACTGGTTACGAATCTTTCACATGAATCGAGAGTAAACCTCACCACCCCAAATCTACGGAGTCCAGGCATTTCCTCTTGGCTCAACCTGTCTTCTTTCCCCATTAAACCATCTATCTGCGAGCACGACTTCCTCCTCTGATACTCAGAGTCATTACTCTAGTCCTCCATCTGTCCCGGGAACCGTGTACACTATTTCTAATTTCGAGATTTATGAATTCAGCGGATCGGGGTTCGGTGGGCTCCGGCCATCCCCGAAGTACTAATCCGGCATAAAGCTAGCTAAATCGCCCTAGTACTTGTGCACACAAAATAAGAACAAAACTCTGGCTGTATGGGGTAATGTAAACCAGGGATACATTGAACCTGTTGCATCTACGAAATGCGAAAGTTTGAGGGATTATGCCGCAGCCCCGGAGGTGTCCAGGGACAACTTAGATGTCTCAGCATAGGGGAAGACCCCAAGACGATTAATTTTGCCCTTTCATAAGCCCAAAATGTTGGGTTATCTGGACTTGATTGGGGGCGCCGCCAGAACCTTAGTTGTTAGACACTGGTATAATACCCACGGGTTCTCTCTTGCTCAACACCCTCGCAGCCTAAAATTTCTCCCGCTTTTTAAGGCAACAATTGATGAAGGTGGATGGAGAGCACGAAGGAATGAAGCAACGCAAGTGCGATGTGGTGCAAGAAAGTGAGGAAGGATGATGAAAGAATAGATAATCGGTGAAGAATGATGGTGAAACTAATGATGAAACTCCGCCTCTAGCCAAGGACAGAATGGGAGATATATATCTCCAAAGCAATAAGAACTCTGGAACTCCAAGGAAACACCATGAACACAAAAGAACCACTCATCCTAATAAACCATGATTCTCCGCACTCCACAATAACCCACAACTCTCATAAACCTCTAACAAAGAACCAGATGTCTAGAAGCATAGGGCGTGAAAGAAACCAAACCCCATCTCCAATGTCCTATGGCAACTGGAAACATCATCAGCAAGAAACCCAACACCTGAGCTCTAGATGCGTGAACCATTCCTCCGTATAACAACCAACTAACATGCCTGATAGGCACTCCAACAACAATAGCCATATTAACCAGGTCGAATTGCTTTTGGGGATGGTGTTAATCAGTGTTCCCAACGGGCTAGGCCAGTGATAGGCCAGCCTATAGGCCTTAGGCTGGGCCAAGGCAGGCCGCTCTGACGATGAGCCTAGGCGGATATAGGCCGAACTCAACCGGCCTGCCGAAGCCTATCAGGCCTGGTAGGAGCCTATAGGCCTGCAAGTGGAATTT